GGAGGGCTGCCGGCGCCCGCTGCGCGGCGGGGCGGGCTTTCGCCTGTAGCAAAGCGGCGTGATGGGGGAAAAACCGTCGCTGTGGGGCTCGGGGAGTGGGTGCAGTCCTCGGGGTGAGCCTTGGGGAGGGGGAGAGCTGTGGTCCCCCCTCGCTGGGAAGGGAGGAGGTGCTGGAGCCTCCGAGCGGTGTGGGATGTTTCTCTGTAGATACTCGCTCTCGTGAAAATTTTAAATATAGCTCAGAGCATCGGGTCGATGGGCTGCTTCTAGTTCCTGCGCCGGTAATCCTAGTCCTGCGGGTAGCTCTATGTATATTCTGCGTCCGCCTAAGGCGCGCGGAAGGCCGCCTGCATCGCAGGGTGTCGTAGAGGCCTAAATGGGTCGCTTGTCGTTTTTCCCCTCTTCGGCGGCGTTAGGCTACCTGCTTTACAAGCCTGATTTAATAACCTGAGGCGCTCAGGGCTGTGCTCGTTTGTAGTCAACGGAGGGAGCGAGACCAACCAACCGAGCTGTTCCGACTCTGGTTTTGACTTGCACAGCACTCGAAATGCCAAATTTAGGCCTGAATTTACATACCCAAATGTAAGTGGTGAAAGTACCTGCTATGGGTATGAAGATTCGCTCAAGCAGAATCCGTTGCAGTTATTATTATCGTAAGCATTTACATTTACCTGTTCCTAACCAATGCTTCGCTGTGGATGTGCCAAACAACAGCCTTCTGCCCTATGGCTTTGGAATGACGGCTTGATTCACCTTTATATTTGTTCTGATAACATTCATTCTTTGGACACTGAAGTACATGAAGTATAACTGGAACGATTACCATAATGTATTGCTGCTGTTGCAGCTGTGATGCTCTAAGGAAATGAAAAAAAGAGTAGGTGCATAGGTAGAGGTAACACTTTTTATTAGACTGGTAGATACGCTTAGGGGAAAAAAAGGCAAGCTTTTCCATAAAATACCTTCTCTGGGGTCTGAAACAGCTCGCAGGCCTTTGTACAGTTTAGAATTGTATGCAGTAAGCAGAAGGTATAGGGGAAGATAGAGTAATTTTTGCATGAACTTAAAATGTGAGGTTGCTGAGGAAGTCTGGCTTTTGTTTTCTTCATGCTGATTCTATTCTGTAGTAACTGATGGATTTTGATACCTTCCAGAACTAGTGTAATAGCCAATAGGATTGGATAAGCGAGGATATGAATGAGGATAAATGAGCAGTAGCCAATATGACTAAAGATAAGATAGAGGCAATATTTTACAATATACCGAGAAGCAGGGAGATTTATTATAAAAAACAATACAGTGGAAGTGAATACATTTTTCTAGTGGCTTAGATAGGGCAGTTACATATGTAGTCTTGAAACAAAGGTTTTTAGATATTCATGGATGTGTTCATGTCATTTATATATTTTCCACTAGATGGCGGAAGTCTCCTTGATAAATTGTTATAATGGTCTCATTACTTTGTTCTGCTGGTGTGTACTGATGTCTCATTAAGGATTGGGTACAGCATGGAATAAAGCCAGTAGTAATGGTGTTTAAACACATGTTGTGAATTTCTGTGAAATGTTTAATTCAAACCTATGTTTCCAATCTACACGAACTATATAAAATACCTAGCATCCTTTGTAAAGCATAACCTATTTTTAGAAGCTTGAAGCTTACCTTTATTTATTGCAAGTTCTTTTTTTAAATCACAGAGTCATTGAGCAAAATTTTCATTTTCACTGAGATTTACCCTATATAAATGAAGTAGCAAAGCTAAATTCAGAGGAATCAATACAGTTGTAATGTTTTTATTCTTACTCATATATGTCGTAGTCTTTGCACCCTGAGAAGAAAACACATTTCTGTGAGTTATCTTTTGAAAGAAATACCCTCTTTAACCAAAAATGACTGATTTAATTTTACCTGGGAAGATATGAAGGATCAAATCCAGAACAAGATAAATATAATGTTTTGTATTTAGAAGGTAAAAGTAACTTACAAAATTTCATCATCAATTTCCTCATTATATCACGAAGATATTTATTCATTCTATTTTAAATCTGTAGCAAAGTTCCCATCAGCTTCTGTAGCAGCATTGCAGGGATGACAGCAGCAAAGGAATGAGGAAGTAAGAATGACCACTGATTGTTCTGAGGGCTCCCTTCTACACAGTAGTGGTACTGTGGCACTTGCTGACTTCAAAATAAGCCTGGCAAAATCACAGAATCACAGAATCGTTTAGGTTGGATGGGACCTCTGGAGATCATCTAGTCCAACCTCCCTGTTCAAGCAGGGTCACCTAGAGCATATTGCCCAGGATCTCATCCAGACGGGTTTTGAATATCTCCAGGGAAGGAGACTCCACTACCTCTCTGGGCAACCTGTTCCAATGCTCTGTCACCCTCACAGTGAAGAAGTTTTTCCTCAGGTTCAGATGGAACTTCCTGTGGTTCAGTTTGTGCCCATTGCCTCTTGTCCTGTTGCTGGGCACCACGGAGAAGAG